CTGATCCTTGGTAGCCTTCTTCTCACCCGATGCCTGGGGTCCATTCTTCGACCTTTCCTTTTCCATCATCTTCTTCTTGTGGTTGAGGAACTTCGCGATCATCTCCATCGTGATTTCAGGCGTCTTATTCTCGGCATGTTCCTTTTCTATCTTTTCCTTTTTCTCCTTGAGGAACTTCGCGATGACCTCGGGTGCGATAACGGGCTTGATCCTTTCCGGGTTCTGGAAATGATTGATGGTCCGATCGAGGGCCTGCTTAGGAGTTTCGAACAGGGGAATGTTGCGGGGCTCATTGCTAAGGCGACAGTGGGACTGCTCTCCCTGGGCCGAACTTCCCTTGCCTTTCTGTGGATTCGGATCCACCAGGCCCATCAGGTCTTTGACTTCCTCCATGTCCCAGCCGAAGTTTTCAAGGGTGTGGATAATCTGCCAGATGGCAACCATGGGATCCTCACCGGGCTTGACAGCAAAGTCCAACTCGTGTGTCAGCATGTGCATAGCCCACTCGGCCGGGGTAGGCTCAGGGGGGCGCAAAATAGACTCCTTTGCGAGCCGACGTGCGACTTCCTCCTCGTCGGGGATGAAGTTGATAGGCGCTGGCTCCACGTAGTCCATCATCCAGTCATTGTGCATGAACTTGTAGAAGCTTGGCAGGACCGACAGAATTTCATCGAAGTAGTACTGTCCGAAGTTGGTCTGATAGACGTCCGTGATAATCTTCATGCCGGGCAAGATATGGACAAGCAGAGGAGCTTCGACGAGAAATTCGAACTCATAAGTTGGGGCAAAACCAGCATCCCAGTCGATCTTTTCCCAGGGAGTCAGGTCGAAGGGACCTCTAGCAGGATCACGGAATTCCTTGCCTCGAACCTTGCCCACTGGCATCAGATCGGGGCCTAGCTCCCTGTAGTATGCCATGACTTCCTCACTAGGTTCCTCCACGGAGACGACCTCAAAGCCATCGATGTCTGGAACTTGCTTGGCTTCGATCATGTCCTTGTCAGCAATCATCTTGAATTTACGAGCAGTCCGATCATTCCCGGCAATTGCAATGCCATATTTGACGACCTTGCGAGCGATTTCAGCGGTGAAGACCTTCTGATCAGCATATCGAATGTTGGACCAAACCTCGGGGTCAACCACATCCTCGAAGTAGTAGCCACCAAACAGCAAGGAGCAACCGCGGTTGAAGTCTCCGGGGCCTTGATGGTGTACGAGTTGCTGGTTCATCCACAACTCTTTGGCAGACCGATCACATGTCTTTCGAGCTTCCTCAAGGTCCTCGTTCTGCTCGGGGCAAACATTGTGGTAGAGCAGGTAAGAAAAGAAGTTCTTCATGGTGTCAGTGCAGACTTTGATCTCCTCCTCAGTATCAGGATTGTAGTAGCCCATGTAGTACCCAGTCCTATCAACTAAGTTAGCATCCATGACTCGAATAAGCGTTCAAATATTTTAAAACTCACAGGTAGCCAGTGGCAACGTCGTTGAAAGAGATTGGGTATGGTTTTCCCATCTTAGGAATGGTGGCCGTGTGGCAGCGAGCTTGCATGGCCTCTTCTTTAGACATCTCCTTCAATTCCGAAGGAGTCACTCCCTGCGAATGGTTGGGGCCCACGCTGACACCGCCGTACTGTAGGTACTTGAGGAAAACCTTGCGTCTGTAGGGCTCAAGGCGTCGTTTGTACAAGAAGCGCTTGATCGCCTCGTCAATTCGACTAGATGGGTCATATTAGTGGGTGTTATGCGATAATATCTGGGGATCTTACTCAAGAATTGGCAAAGCACTGTCATGAAGTGTTAGATAATGTCTCAGTTTGGATGTTAGAATTGTACTTACGGATCATAGATGTTCTTGTTCTCCTCGAACTCCTTCGGAGTAATTGGTGCATCGGCATAGAAGGGTTCGAATCCCGTGGGCGCGTTCTATTAAAGGCTGTTAGACAGAATCCGCGTGTGTAAACATCGGTATCACAGTCTTACCTCTCCTCTCTGGCTCTTGGGGCGTCTCTTGTTCTTTTTCTTCTTCTTCGATTTCGAAGAAGCATCATCGTCAAGTTCCATGTTTGCGAGAACCCTTTCCTCGTCGGGATCATGCTTGAATCCAATGTTGGGTTCTTTCTCCGAGTTCGCACCATCCTTCACATCCGAGTTGTCCGTAGTATTCTCTGGCTCTTCCGTAGCGATGGAAACACGAGGTAAAGCACCTCCAAGGTCAGCTTCACCGGAAACATGCTTGCTAGGCTCCTGGTCCGAACAAGCCAAAGGCTCCTCAACCTATAGAGTAGTGTCAGCATAACATTTATTAGGATACCAAGGAGATTGGATCCTGGTGGTCAGATAGAGTCAGGACACTCACATTATGCTCAGTCTTGAGTGCATCCTCTGACTTCTCGAGCTCAGGAATGACTGGTTCAATGAAATGAACCCGAGCCTGCTTAGCAGATGATTGAGGTAATTCAGAGACAGACTCCGCGGAAGAGATGAAGGATGCTTCCTCGGTAGCTTCGCCATGCTCTTGGTCCGGCATGGTGGGGTCAAGGTTAGTAGGGGCACCGTCTCCAGTCATGGCTTCAGTAGGCTTCGTAGGCTCATCAGAGATGATAGGATTAAGCGACTGAATAGGGGGAGACGGATTGTCTTCACGGGCAGGCTCGGGCCTTTCATCCATGATGAATGATAGAAGTAACGAGGTTGAAAGGATGAAGTTTCCGTGTTGCGAGAAGCAAGGATAAATATTGGAAGGAGAAGGAAAGACCAAAACAAAGAGACGAGACTTAATAGCAAGGCTCTGATTGCTTAGTCGTGATGCTTAGTCGTGATGCTTAGTCGTGATGTTTAATTATGAGGATTAGTTGTGAGGATTAGTCGTTATAAACCTCATCCATAGATGAGATCAGGCAAACAACCAAACAACCTGTGTTTCTTTCACTATTATAAGATAATTTAAAATTTGTTGAGCTTGAAGGGAGAAGATAAATAAAGAAAAATCCAGGAATTACAATGTTGAATATGACTTAGTGAGTTCAATGTTGTATACACAGATCGTATAGTTCATCTAAGATTAGGGTTGAGAATGACATCGCCCCCACCCCCCTTGTCCCGCGTTTGGGATGTCATTTCTCCAGATCTCACTTCTTTTTCATATATTAGCATTTAGCATACATTTGAATAATTCACCTTATTTGCATTCAATTTGCCAGGTTCAAAGCTACCTGTGAACCTCTACACCTCAGGACTACTCCAGCTGTTTGGGGCATCCGAAATACAGACCTCCTCATGTCATAAGAGCCGAGTGATTGTATGAAAATGCCTTCGAAATCAGAAAATCGAAAGACACCACAGCTGGGCAGCGAGGATCTGATCCCTTTTGACCATGCTGCTGCCGGACAGTAAGTTCCACACCGCCGCTCTGTGTCCTGACGCGACGTCCCACACGAATTAACCCAGCCGGGTGTGCGAAAGAAGACCAACACTGGCGGACTCGAGTACGATATTTGATTTATGTCCATGCTAACAATATATTTCTATTCAGTGATGGCGTCCGCTGTACGGCCTCTGGCGCCCTGATCGCGAAACCGTGCACGCGGCAAGAGGTAGAATTCTACGAATCCAGCGCGCTCCACCCGGAATTACAGGAGTTCATGCCCCTTTACGTCGGATCCCTTTCATCTTCCGAACAACAGCAACCGCTGGCGATTGCTGCCGCCCGAGAATCTGGCATCCTTCCCCTCTCCGAGTCCGGCGACGTAACGGCCGATTTCTCCCAGCCTAGCCAACCGCCATCGCACACAACTGCCCCGCACAAGGACAGCGCTGCCCCTGTTAAGGAGGAAGCAGCATGGGTGCCCTCTGGAGGCAAGGAAATCGATACTGGTTTGTCGATCGTGCTGGAGAACATCGCCTGTGGGTTCCGTCGGCCAAACGTGCTGGACGTCAAGCTCGGCGCGCGTTTATGGGCGGACGATGCGCCGCTCGAGAAGCGGAAGAAGCTTGATGTCGTATCGAAGGAAACTACCAGTTCTAGCGTTGGATATCGCATTGCGGGGATGAAAGTCTGGACTGGCCACAATGGGGAGACCGATGAGGGCGATCGGACAGACCCGTATGCTACGAAATACGAGGGTGCAGAGGGCGAAAGGGGCGAAGTCATCGAGAAGGATGGCTATCGGCGGTATGACAAGTGGTACGGCCGCTCCTTCAGTAAGGATAATGTCAAGCAAGGCTTTGAAACCTTTCTTGCTGGCGCAAAGGCGGGCAAGATAGACCGATCAAAAATGGTCGCCCAGCGCTTGGCGGAAGAATTGAAAAACTTACAGCTTGTTCTTGAATCAAAAGAGAGCCGGATGTACTCTGCGAGTGTGTTGGTGGTCTACGAAGGAGATATAGAAGCGATGGAGCAGGCAATTGAAGAGGAACAGAAAGCCCCAGCAACCCGTTCTCGGGAAGAAGAAGAAGATGATGAAGATGACGAGGAATTTGAACTTCCCGAAGAAGCTTTCCAGATGGTCAATGTCCAGCTTGGTGATGGGATGCCTCAACAGGCTATCAATATCAGCATTGACCCCGAAACCATGCAGATGCCCGACGTGGACGATGACGAGGAGGACGAAACTCCTAAAGTCCACGCACTCCGCCTGATTGATTTTGCACATGCCAGCTGGACCCCTGGGCAAGGCCCGGATGAGAATCTACTCATGGGTGTGCGCAGCCTCGTCAAGATGTTTGAGGAACTGGCAGAGTGAGATGGAGTATAGAGTCGCATGTGCCCACAGTTGCTGGCGGCCGTTGGATGCACTACTAGCAACTTTTATTATGTTTTATTGCAGTCCAATTAGCTATGTAGATCAATCTTCATTTATCACTCAGCCAATTTATTGTATTCATTCTTTCAGCGCGCCAGGGCCACGACCTCTATAAAAGTGCTGACATAATCCCGCCGAGACTTCGACATTGATCTTCAAACATCGCGGAATTGCAACTGCGGAAACCCTCAAGTCAAAATGTTCCCCACACGCGCCCTTTTCGGCCGGTCGGTCTGGAAAGGTGAGTCTTGTCGAATCTAGAAGATCTCTACTTCAGGATCAATTCCTAAGAGGCCACACGCTAACACTTCCAACAGGCCCAAACATCGTCCCGTACGTGACAGAAATCAAACTCCTCCCTTCGAACCTACAAAACCTTTACAATGGGACCATCTCATACTGGAATTCAAAGCTGACTGGATGATCCAAAACAGTCTTCCTCTCCCACGCACCCTCCCCCTCCACCCAACACCCCCCGATCCGCACCACGAAACGCGCAGCAACCATCCTCCCGAACTTTGTCGGTCTGCGCTTTGCTGTGCACAATGGCAAGACATACGTCGAGATCCAGGTGACAGAGGAGATGGTCGGACGGAAGCTTGGAGAATATGTTGCGTATGTATACATATTTCTACGTCTGTTCAGATGAGCAGCTCAGAATGATGCGGTTATTTACTGACATTCAATTTGCTCTATAGGACCCGCAAGCGCTTTACATACAAGCAGTCTAAGAACAAATAAACGACTCGCATGATCGCCTGGTGCAGATACTTCTTTGTGCTAGGAGAGCTACATTACATCTCTTTATTTTGCGACACCATGTACAGATATATCGTTGGATTCATTGTGACATTAGCTGCTTTTGGGTCGGAGTTCAATATAAAATTTTCTTTTTCCTAGATTTAAACTGCGAATAAAGTGCAATGCGACTTGAATACAATACCCAAATAGAACCTGTATAGGAAGGCAAATAACGAGTAGTAGTCCTCATTCAATCTGCGGTGTTCTTATAGATTCTAATGCGCAATTCGAAGCCAGCAACACACAGGAAATGTTCATATCATTCCCTAACTAGTTCCTATAGCATTGCAGGCACAGATTCTAGTAAGTAAAAGTTAGTTAAGGGAAAAGAGAAAACGCCATCCATTGGATCCGCCCAGACACCAGCCCAGACTAGCAATGCAGTCATGATCCCAGGCCACGCAGGACCATTTGCACACCTAAACGCCATAAGCCCGAAAATGCAAAAGACAAATGATGCAAAGCCCCGAAGACCAGTTTCCATCAATGTACTACCTGTAGAACTCGCCTCGCTTCACGCTGACTCCATATTCTGAGACTGCCATCCCCAGGTCTTCCATGGTCAACACCGTACGTCCCTGACCAGAGCCACCCGAACCACCACCTCCAAATCCAGGCCGCTGGATACCGAGATGAGTGCCGGCTTTATTACCCTTACCACCATCGCCGCCAGGAGCTGGGGCACCACCTGCGCTAGCCGGAGCACCGAGACCAGCCGCAGCTGCTAGACTGCCGATGGGGTTGTTTGCGGAGGAGCTGTTTGAGGCGCGGATTCGGGCAAACTGGTACGAGTCTGCTGCGATGTCTGAGACAAACTTTTGTGCAGCAAGCGCTAGGAGTCGCGCCAGGTGAGGTGGGGTTTGGCCGGGGCCTGTGCCTGGTGGTGGGAGACCGGCGAGGGTGAGGTAGTGAGCAGTGACTGCGTCGGGAATCTGGAGATCGAGGGTCAGTTGTTTTTTGCTTTTCCTTGATTGTCTGATGGGTCTTTTGTTTTATATCGTGGGTCTCGCTTTCCGATGCGCTTGCGCGATATCTTGGGATGGATCGATGGTGGCGGGGATGCCGTGGTCCATCGTGTGACCAGGCGATCAGGGGAAGCTCAGAGAGGTTACAGTCTTGTTTCAGAGATGACTTACAATTGGTGCATAGTCATCCATCTTGCCGAGGAACTCGCGCAAGCTTGTTTCCTTCTTGGAGGGTTCTGGCGCGGGCGCCATGGGATCTTGGCCAGGCGCGCTGGCGTTCGCGTTCGCTTCGGCCTGATTCTCGGTGTTCATATCGACGTCTTTTTCGATGGAAACATCAAGATCAGGCTCAGTTTTGATGTTATCTTCCGATTCGGTCGGAGGGGGATGCTCTTGTGATCCGTTCTGGGGTATGGGTTGGGAAGGTTGCGATGTTTGAGAGTCGGCCATGTTGGGCAAATATCGGCGGAAAACCCCTGCAAGTTTCCTTTAATTGAGACTGGGCTGCAGAGTTCCAAGTACAAGGCCAATCAATGGCTGCGGCGGTTATACGTTCGTTTATAGGGAGATTCAAAGTCACACGGGTGGTGCACGGGCCATCTGATGACCTACCTCGACTACCACGCTATGTATCAACGCATAGTTATATATTGTAATGTGAAGATATCTACATCTAAAGAGTGTGTTTATTTTATTCATTATCATTCATTTGAAATGTATCACTATGTACTCATACAATTGGGATGCAATAAAAGCAATCGCCCAGTCCGGCGCAATGTCGCAATCCCATAGTAAAACAAATGTGGTTCCCGAAGGAACAAATATCACAATCCAGCCCTAGACTCCGAAACGAAATTGCAAATCCGAAGTTCTCATGATGAATCTTGCGGACAAAAAGCTAAATCAATAAGACAAATGGTTGGATATTACAATCCTCTACTGTCCCAACTGCATATGAGGATCGATGTGATCAGGAGTTGGCTGAGCATGCTGCTGAGGGTACTGACTTCCGTGTACCTCCTGGCTCAGAGTCTGCATGAGGTTCTGTTCCGCGGTTTGATCAAATACGGACTGGCTGTTAGCATCCGGTGGAAGGCTAGGCGAGGCGGACATATCGTGTCCCGACACGGGTGCCCCATGAGCTCCAGCAAGGGCCATCATACCCTTAATTCCTTCCACATGGGCCTTGTCTTCTTCGCCCTGCTTCTTCTGTCTTTCACGGGCTTCCCGTTTGGCTGCCTGGGCAGGAGCGCGGGTTTTCAATTCACCGGTGACAAACTTCAGGTAGTATGGGACCTCAATTCCACTCTTCAAGAAGAAGAGTTTCAAGTTGCGAGCCTTGTCCTTCAGCTGTACCTGGTTACGATCTTTGAGTGCTTCACTTATCGTTCCACCAGGTCCAAACATAGCAAGAATCTGACTCCAATGGGGGCCCTTCACACGGTCTAGGCCGGCCATCAACGCGTTCTCTTCTTCAGTGGTCCAGGGTCGACGTTGACTGGGAAGGCCAGATTTACGGCTAGTCGGAGAAGACTTTGCGGATGCGGCCATTCGGGCACGTTCGTAGAGAACCTGAGTGGGCTGTGACTGAGAGTAATGGGGAATCCCCGGCATGTATCCATGGTTGGAGGACATGCCATTTGCTCTAGCTTGCATAGCTTGCGCTGCATTGGGGTTGTATTGCTGGAAGGTGGCCTGTAATGGGCTCTGCTGGAAAGTTAAGGGGGAGGCCTGCTGTGTTTGATAACCTCCAGGGGGGTCGGACTATGATGATATTGTTGGTGAACTGGCTGCGATTGTTGTGCAGCAGTGTAGCCATGGAGATATTGATTATCAGGTTGGATCGTCTGTTGCTGCGGCTGCTGTGGTGGCGGCTGTTGGTGCTGGGGTTGTTGGGGTTGTTGCGGTTGTTGCGGTAGAGGCGACGGACTAGCCTGAGATTGGGTCTGTTGGGGTTGTTGCTGATGCTGTTGTTGCGACTGCTGCTGAGAGCGTCGGAGGCCATGGCCCTGTAGAGCAATCTGCGCAGCTCGGGCAGCACGTGCGACAAGGTCGCCATGCATGTTTCGGTCCACTGGGACTTCAACTTGTTGGTTGAGTGCGAATTGACCCTGGTGGGTGGTGTTGGGTGACTCATGGGCGTCGCCATTTGAACTCGAGGGCTGACGTCCCTTGACGGCTTTCTTTCCCTAGATGATTTTAGCATAAACATAATCTTTGAGGAAGATAAAGGGCAACAAACGAACCTGTTGGGTATTGATGGCGTCAAAGTTCTTCGAAATGTAGGAGCTGAGATCTCGGAGGAAATCTTCCCAGTGATACTTATCCGGCAGGGCATTCAGCGCTTCCTCATTGTTGATCTCATTGAGAAGGATGTCACGGCGAGAGGTGAGACGGTTCACGAAATCTGTCTCAGATGGTGCCAGCTGCCTGGTACCAGGACGTCTCGCCAACAACCGTTGTTCCATGTCGTCCGGGAACAGATTGTAGAGGAGCTGTGTACGGGTGAGAGATTTGTTATGCATGGCTGCGATGAAAGCCTGTGTCTTGAGTTCGAGGTACAAAGCACCTTGGACCTTCAGTAAACGACCGCCCTCAGGGACAAACACGTCTAAGAAATGATCATTGAGGTCCGCAAACCCAATTTCCTGAGACCCGAAGATACTCGAGACAAAGGACGCCAGGTTCGCTTTGCGAATGACATCAATTTGAGAAGGGTCTGTGATTTCAAGGTCCGTAGGCTGAAGGAATGAGTGCTTGACGGTGTAGACTCGCTTTGTGTGGTCAAATAAGGAGCGCATGGTGGCATATGCTTGGCCATTTTCGGAGTCAGGTTCGGAAACCATAGCAGTGAGGTCTTGGTAGGTGTTCTTGGAAAGGAATGACAAGATTTGCGTCGACTAGGAGATGATTGACCAGATGTTAGGAAGCCGAGATCGCGTAAATAGTATCAATTCAACTCACAAGATTATCCAAGATAGGGAGACTCTGAATCTTGAGGTGAGAGTTGGCCTTGAGGAAAGCAAAACCTCTGGCTCCTGGGAAATCATTCGACGGTGGTAGTTCTTGGGGTCCCATTGCAACGGTTTGCTCCTGACGCTCTGTGTGATCCATGATTTCAGAGATGATTGTAGCCACATCGTGATTGAGATCAGAGTTGCCGTCCTGGGTAGTGGCGACCTCTGTAGAGGAATCATGGGTGTTGTGAGTGCCATGCTGAAGAGTTTGGTTCACATCGAGGACGTTCTGCTCAACTGTATCAATAACACCTTCGCCAAGAGCCGAGGCCAATTCTTCTTCAATTTTGTGACCAGGGCCATGCTGATCGGCCATCAAGATGACTCCGTCGGGCAGAGAAATATCACCGTTGGAGCTATCGCCTGTACGGCGCTTCTTGGCCGCCGGAGGCGATCCATGCTCCTCATCGTCGAGGGAATGAGACACTTTTTGGTCTGTGATACAGATTTAAATGGTGAGTATTGATTCTAGAGTTATATTGAGGTCCCATTGGCGATGAGGGTGATAGGTATGGGTGGGGGTGGTCGAGGCTGGTGAACGGGACGATCGGATGAGGCGCTTGAAGAGAACACTTACCAATGTCACCTCCATCAGAGGGGAAGGGAGGAAAGTCGGATGTTTCCTGGCCATCGAATGATGGCCGCGCGCCTCGAGTCTCGACCATTTGGAATAAGCGCCTGTCGGGGTATCAACTTCCGAGAGCAGAAATGAGGGCTTAGGGGTAGGGCGCATTTGTAGGGCTTGCGGAAGAAGGATGGAGGAGCAAAATATGATTTTTCTGCCGGGCGGTAGAAATCTCGGAGGTGATGGGTGGAAGCGTGGGCATCAAAAAATTGTATGCGTGGAGGTTCGTGGAAGGAAGGTAAATGGGGAGAGGGAAGAAGGAAACCTTGGCGGAAGTTGCGTGGTTGAGTGTATAAATGTGCGTGTGTTTATCTCGTCAATTCATAAGTACCT